GTTTCTCTTTCATGGTATTTCTTCTTTCTTTCTCTGTCACACATCCTTTTTCTCCTCTTTTTCTCTCATGCACTCTTTCTCTTTTTCCTGTCTTCCTTCTTTTCTCTCTCTCTTTCTGTCACACACTCTCTCTTTCTTTTTCATGTTGTATTTCTTCTTTCTTTCTTTCTTTCTTTCTTTCTTTCTTTCTTTCTTTCTTTCTTTCTGTCACACATCCTTTTTCTCCTTTCTCTCTCTTTTACTCTCTCTTTCTCTCATGCGCTCTTTCTCTTTTTCTGTCTTCCTTCTTTTCTCTCTCTTTCTCTCTGCCACACGCTCTGTTTCTCTTTCATGGTATTTCTTCTTTCTTTCTCTGTCACACATCCTTTTTCTCCTCTTTCTCTCTCTCTTTCTCTCATGTGCTCTTTCTCTTTTTCTGTCTTCCTTTTCTCTCTCTTTCTTTCTGTCACACGCTCTCTCTTTCTCTTTCATGTTGTATTTCTTCTTTCTTTCTTTCTCTGTCACACATCCTTTTTCTCCTTTTTCTCTCATGCACTCTTTCCCTTTTCCTTTCTTCCTTCTTGTCTCTCTCTCTCTCTCTCTCTCTCTTTTTAAATTCCTTTTCCCGGGTTCTCCTTCTCTTCCTCTAGTCCCGATTGGGCGGCAGCCCCGCCTATCACCCGGCCTCTGGTCCCGCCTCTTCTCCGTGTTCATCGACCATGCAGCCAACAGCGCCTGCTCTTCCTGAGTCTTGGTAAGCCGGGGGGGGGAGAGGGCGCGGGGGAGGGTCTTCTCGCCCCCCTTTGCAAAATGGGGGAGGGGGGGAAGAGGCAGGCTACCAAGTCTGCAAAAAAAAACCCCACCCAAACCCCACCAAGGCCCATTGGGGTTTAAAGCTGGCTTAAACCAGGCTTGCTAGCTAAGCCATGTTTAGGATTGCATGCTAAATCCAAAGTACCTTAAAGTGGGGGTCCTCCGAGATGCAAAAGGGCGCCCCCAAAGGGGGACTTTGGAACGTGGCCCCTGCCCCTTGCCTAATGCAAGGCTCTCCCCCCCCAAATTTGGGGGTCGTAAAGCAGGACCTTTTGCGGGCCCGTGCAACGCCCCCTCCCCTCTTTGCTGTTATGGTGGGGGGTCGTCCGAGGAAGCCCCCCCCCAAAAAGCTTGCACCTTTTTCTCTTTGAAAAGAGGCTGCTGGGAGGGATGCAGTAGCAACGACCAACCGCCAGAGGGACTATTCAACCTGAAGGGTGCAGTGACGCAAACGAGCCGCTAGAGGGCGTCCCACTTGCTCTCCCGTTGGAATGTGGGGAGGGGAGGGGGCTTGGGGGCTCCTCCGCAGCCCCTCAACCCATTAAAGCCCAAGTGACTTAGAGATTTGGCTTCGCCCCCTCCTGTCCCGGAGTCCAGTTCTGCAAAAAGTTAACCTCCAAACCTGATCCCTGCTTGGATGGGGCACCACCAGGAGATCCCATTTACACCTCTACTTACAACCACGCTCAAAAATCCCCTTAAGATGGTGGTTAGATGAGCATGGCTCCCATTTTACGACCTCGCTTTGCCCCGGTGGCGGAGTGAACCCCAGCACCCGTTCCACGTTAGCGACACGGCCGTTAAGCGAGTCTGGCTTCCCCGTTTGACTTGGCTTGCTGGAAGGTCGCCAAAGGGGATCCCGTGAGCCCCGGGAGGCTGCGACCGTCATAAACCCGAGTCAGTTGCCAAGAGTTTCAATTTTGGTCATGTGTGACAAATGGCCATAAGTCACTTTTTTCCGGTGTAACTTTGGTCATTAAATGGACCATTGTACACCGAGGGCTACCTGTGCAGAGAGCCGAGGACTAAGTACGGGCCTGTGTCGGCTAGCAGAGACAAGTACCCAAGAGCCGAGGTGGCGCAGTGGTTAGAGGGCGGTACTGCAGGCGACTTCTACTGCCTGCCGGCTGCCTGCAATTTCACAGTTCGATCCTGACTGGCTCAAGGTTGACTCAGCCTTCCGTCCTTCTGAGGTGGGTCAAATGAGGATCCAGATTGTTGGGGGCTAAGAGGCTAACTCTGTAAACCGCTTAGAGAGGGCTGTAAAAGCACAGAGAAGCGGTATATAACACTAAGTGCTATTGCTAACTCTGCCCACTGCCAGCAGTTCAATCCTGACCAGCTCAAGGTTGACTCAGCCTTCCGTCCTTCCGTGGTGGGTCAAATGAGGACCCAGATTGTTGGGGGCAAAAGGTTGACTCTGTAAACTGCTTAGAGAGGGCTATAAAAGCACCGTAAAGCGGTATATAAGTCTTAAGTGCTATTGCTATATCCAATTCTGCTCCTTTTAGGGTCCCAGAACGGACCGTGCGGTTAAACACCGGCGCCCGCATGCCACTTCTGGGCCTCGGCACCTACCGCCTTAAGGGGGACGAGGCCGTGCGTGCCAGCCTGGATGCAGCTCTGGCGAACGGATACCGCTTGGTGGATACGGCCGCCGTCTACGGCAATGAAGCAGCGCTCGGACGAGCCCTTAAGGATTTGCTACCTCGCCATGGTCTCGCCCGCGAGGACGTGTTTCTAACCAGCAAGCTGAGCCCGAGAGACCACGGAGAGGAATCTGCCTACGCGGCTTGCCTTCGTACCTTACAAGACCTAGATTGCGGTTACCTGGATCTCTACCTGATCCATTGGCCGGGGACTCAAGGCCGGCCTCAGGACGATGCCGGCAACCCGGAGCGTCGGCTGCAGAGCTGGCGCGCCCTGGAGAGGCTGCACGACGCCGGGAAGCTCCGAGCGATCGGCGTTTCCAACTACACCGTCCAGCACCTTCAGGAACTGCTGGCCAACTGCAGGGTGATGCCCGCCGTATTGCAAGTGGAATTCCACCCCGAACTCGGCCAGACGGAGCTGCTGGAATTCTGCACCCGGAACGACATCCATTTGCAAGCTTATTCCTCGCTGGGCACCGGTCCGTTGGTAGAGCATGCTGTAGTAAGGGCCGTCGCCCAGCGGCACGGTCGCATGCCCGCCCAGGTATTGCTCCGTTGGGTTCTGCACCAAGGTGTCAGTGTGATTCCCAAGTCGGCGTCTCCAGGCCGCGTGGCTGAAAACGGCCAGCTGTGGTCGTGGGACTTGAGCCAAGCCGACGTGGAAGAGCTACGACGCCTGGATTGTGGGAAACGGTATTGCTGGGACCCCACCGGCGTGGTGTAAGAGCAGGCAAGGTTCTGACTGAGGCTTCCCGAGAGCATGAAGCAACTCCTTGTCCCAACAAACCCCTTTTATTAATTGACTGTGAATTCTGCTCATTCCCATCCAGCAAAGTCTTTCGAGGGAGGATTTATGGTCACAGACCTCATCTGGCTTGGAGAGCTGCCAGGCCGATCTCTGCAAAAGTTGGCCAGGAGTCTTGGAGAGTCACGAACCAATTAAGCAAACTAATGGTCTCCTGCAAACTCCACTCCCCTGTCGCTCCTCTTTTCTTTCCCCTGGGAGGGGCCATTCATCGTCCACCTGTGGCCTTACTCCCAAGTCGACCCCTGTTCTTTAGCTGTTCTTTTCGTCTGACGCATGCGCACACTGGGAACAGGTTCCAGCTGTTCTTCTGCCTCACTGATATCCGACTCCGAAGGCAGCTGATAATTGTCAGGCGGCCCTGGCCCCCTCTCTGCCTCCAACACAGAGCCCTCCTCAGAGCCTTCCCCAGACTCCAGGACTGGCCCAGGTTCCTCCCCAACCCTCCTCACTCTCCGAATCAACTGCCAGCTCTACTTGCGGGCCCCAACAGGCACAGATTCCTCCAGCTGAAACCGGGATCCTTCCAACTCTTGAGAAGGTCATCCCCTTCGTGAAGTCGATTTCCTATTTCGACGCTTGTCGTCTTTGTGAGGTGCCAACGCCGGTTGCTAATTGTTGGTTTAGCGCCTTAACCCAACTGAGTCACTTATGGCTGACTCAACCCTAAATTATCCAGGAATGTCAGGCTATTTTAATCGCTCGTTGGGGTGTGTGTGTGTCTGTGTGAGATCCGAGCCTCTCACTCAGCTGCGAGGTCGCGGGGTGAAGAAACGGGTACGAGCCCAATGAGAAGCCAGAAAAAAACAACCTTTATATACAATTTCCCCCCCTTTTAGGAATTAAGACAAATAAACGGCAACGATACAGAGAGTGAAGGCGAGAAGAAAATCTCTTCTTTTTTTCTTCTTTTTTTGCTTTGTTAAAAAACGGGTGTTCGACTTGATTTTCTGGGAGAGGATGGGGACCCTGGAAAATTAGGGGTGTTGGATATTGGGGAAGGGGGGAAAAAAACCCAAATTTAATCAAGGGTTAAATGGGCAGAGGGTCAAAATCTGGACAGTGCCATAATGTCAGATCCGGAGTAAACATCTTTTAGGTGGCATAAAAAGTGGAAGTGTCAGGGAACGAACTCGCCCCCCCGGAATGATTTTTGGGAGACCACGGAGGAAAAAGTGTACGGTGGAAACCCCACCAAGTTTCTCCTCTCCTCTCCACCCACCCCCGAAGCTCCCCCCTCCATTTCTCACCCCCCACCCCCCCAACAGGTAGCAGCAACGCCCGGTTAAGAACCGGAAGGTCCATTTTCCGGGCAACTTCGGCGCCACCATGACCGCAGAGTGTCCTTCCAGCTGGGAGGGTGGTCCATGCGGGAACAGGTCCCGGCGCTTTTCGGGCGCGGAAGCTTCTGGAAAAAAAAGAGGGGAGAAAGGACGGGGTGACACAACGGTGGATCGAGGCGCTATACCCGTGATGGCGTGCGTGCCATGCCAGCTGCTCTTCTGTTACTTGCTGTGTGTCTTTGTGTGCACTAGAAACTCAAAAGACCAGCTGGCTGGTGCGCGCATGCTCCGGTATGCGCAAAGACCAACTGGCTGGTCCGTATGCGCGTACCGCAAACCCAGACACCAGGTGGCCAGCGTGCGCATGCTCCAGTGTGCGCGAAGGCCAGCTGTAAAGGTAAGGATTGCTTGGCGTTTTGCAATCCCCTCCGCACTGCACCAGCCTTATTACCTGGAGGGCGCCGTGAAATTCATCGCTCATCCTGCGTAATTCTCGGCCGTATCGCTGCGCGGCCCACAAGATGGGAGGGGCGGAGCGGGAGCGGGCCCGGAATGTCCCCACCTCATCGGAGGTCTCCGAATCGAGTTGGTCAGACCCAATGCGGCGTCTCAGTTCTAGAGAGTAAAGAAATCTTAAGTTAAAGAAAGGAAAGGAAAAGATTCCCCTCGCACATATCTCCTAGCCGTTCCTGACTCTAGGGGGCGGTGCTCATTTCCGTTTCAAAGCCGAAGAGCCAGCGCTGTCCGAAGACGTCTCCGGGGTCATGTGGCCGGCATGACTCAACACCGAAGGAGCACGGAACGCTGTTCCCTTCCCACCAAAGGTGGTTCCTATTTTTCTACTTGCATTTTTTACCTGCTTTCAAACTGCTAGGTTGACAGCAGAAGCTGGGAGAGGTAACAGGAGCTCACTTCGTTATGCGGCGCTAGGGATTCGAACCGCCAAACTGCCGACATTTTCTGATCGACAAGCTCAGCCCTCTTACGAGCCGGGGAGCTGCGAGAACCACCAGTC